ATGAATAAAACACGAGATTAAGGCAAGTACCAGGGAAAATGATGCAATCAAGAGACCTGGTAAACATGCAATGTTTGAGCCGGTGTAACACAGCGTAGTGTTTCACAGCCAACTTTTCTTCCTGTGGAAGCAGAAAGAGTACACTCTACAATGACAATGAAAAGCACAGCATGGTAAATGCATAAACCAGTAACATAGCTGCTTATCTTCATTCCCAAGCATTAGGTCCTACACTTAACCATGCCTGCTATTCTTTAACACGATGGCAGCGCAGCAGGTTTGTTTGCTTCAGCAGGATCACAAACATGTGAGCAATGCGCTGTGCTACGACCTTACAATGGCCACCACTTCACCGGGCAACAGGAAATTTCATGAGATCATCATCGTCGTCGATGGATGAGCCCGTTATGATGTGGTACAGGACTGTAGTCTTGTGGAAGCAGGTGGCTTCTGATGGAAAGGAATGGGCAGAAAATGAGGTGTGGACACCCATCAGAATGAGGGTCACTTCTGCGTACATCTCAACGAACTGCAAACATCTCCCCAGTGTTTGTGATCTAGAAGGGGTTGTGTGCGCCACATCCCTGGCCAACCCCATCCACGTTGGGAGGAAAACCCAAATGATGAGCACTTCGCACACTGGGCCGGAGAGAGAATAACGGCTGAGTGCGGGCGCCATATCTGTCTTTTATGTGGGTGTGTGTAACATCCAAATAAATGTGTCTCCTTTTCTTTTCAAATGCTTGGTATTCAGAAAGCATCATGCAGTTGAAACATGTGGGTGGGCTAGGGAGAAATTAATTAGCCTGACTGTAAGTGATTCAACGAGTCCCAGAAGCCCCATTGCAACATACCTAGAAGCCAGCCCAATGCCTGGGAGAAGGTGGCTTTGGCGTTCCATTTTCTTGTTTTCACCTATAAGGCTTCCTGGCTGACAAAACCGTAGTTTCTCAGCATTCCAGTGAAAGGTTCTAAGGTCAGTCCACCCATTCCACGTACACAGTCAAAGCTAGTGATGCAGAAATATGTCTCCTGCCAAAGAGCAGACCTGGTTTCTGGTTCCAGCAGAGCCTGCTAACTCACTGCACAGCTGTGGAAATGACTTTCCCTCTCCAGACTTGTTTTCTCATCTGGAAAATGAGGGGACTACACAATATGATATTATGTGCTTGGTGCCTCCAAAAATTTTACAACTACCTGATTATATATCCTCAGACATAAGAAGCATTTTGACTATCAAAATGTCCTAGGAAATTAAGAGAGTGCTGCAAAGAATTGTTTTTTGTTTTTGCAGTTGTATGCTACTTGTACATTTTGGTAATGTTTCTCAAGTTGCTGCCTTTGCGTTTGTTTGGGAGATTAAAATTTTTTGAGCATGGAGATTTCAACATTTCTATTTGGTTAATTACCCAATAATGTCTAGTCAAGTGCTTTGCACATTAACATTTTCATGATAAAAATGATCAATGATCATTTAAAGCTTCTTTTGCTAAGTACTGGTTTATAAGAAAATTATACCTCCATTAAGATTCATCTTTCTCCATCATTATTTAGTACAAGCTTTGGTACTTAGCAATCACATGTATTTATCTCTACAGGAAAAAAATTAAGATTTTGTACTTTAAAAATATTAGAAGCAAGACTTGGGATCAAGTATTTAATCAGTAAACACCAGTTGTAATTCTACAGAATCATTCTTCTGTACAAATGCTTTCCTCAACCTGAGAATTGTGCCACTTAACTCACAGCACTCATGGGTGCCAGCTTCTACGGAAGTATTTCTGAAAGAATTTCCGGTGGGCAGCACAAGTCCTGGATCCAAACACCAGCACTTTCCATGTGCTCTTCACTGCCATGAGTGAACTAAATTTCTTAGCAATTGGACTATGTGTAGATAAGAAAATGCAATGGCCTCCATGCTTCTGAAACAGGGAGACCCGTGATTCCCAAGTGACACCAGCTCTAATCCTGCTGATAGCCCTGTCCTCTCTGGGAGAGGACACAGAAATGGCTCCAGCTGTCCTGGGGCCTGTGCTTCCCTCTCTGTACAAGCCTGACACATTTTCAATCGTAAATAGCATTAGCAATGCTTTCCATAATGTAACCATGACAGAGGTGCCCTGAGTATCCCATGACCTAAGTGGGTGGAAAACAGTCCCTCAACACTAGAAGGATAAGGCATTTTAAACATGAACCAGAAGATCAGATGTACGCACACAAATGCATACACATATGTGTGAAGTAAAGAAGGAAGAGTTGTTTGAAGGGCACTCTCACAGAGAGGCTGTTTTGGGGATGTTAAAGGGGAATGCTGGACAGAAAAGAAAGATGCGTGAAGACACAGCATGTGCTGCTGAATGCTGTAATCCTTCCAGAACTGCCTCAGTGTCTTCCACAGTTGCAATAATAGCCTAGGGTAGACCTTTGATACCCTTTGTTGAGTACCTCTGTGCACAAGAGCATTCTCAGGAGGCATTATAGGTGCAACTGTAAACACAAATAAAACTCCTCCCCTTCATAGCATGAAGCCTCTACACTAGGACTCACGTGACCAGTCATTCCCTGAATGGCACCAGGCACTTCTACTTTTTGGGTTGACACAGCTTAAAGGATTTCAGGGGGCTTTGGCATGCGAGTGGTCTTGAAGGTCATCAGGTCCAAGCACCACTTTCTCCCCATCAAGCTAAATCCCTCTGACAAGTGGTTTTTCAGTTTCTCCTCCAATTTGCCCAACAATGAGAAGCCCATCAAGAGTTAAATAACCGTGCTTTACAGGAAGCACAAGTGGGCGATTATTCAACGATAATTGGTACCAAGGAGAGGCAACTCATAGTGAATCCACTTAAAACAGAAGATAAATGTCATGGTATAGAGCAGAAATAACAAGGCTTGGGAAAATGAACCAAAATAATCAAGTATTCATTTTTATTATTTTTAGAAGAGGTTTTTTTTAATGTTACTGAAATTTATACCATAGAACAAAATTGTGTGATAGCAAATGTTAACTTTATATTGGACTCCATATTGGACTTTCACAGCCCAGTCTAAAACAAGTGTTCATTTTTGTAAATGTTTTCAAGGGTTTTATCAGTTTTCCCAAAAGCCTTTCTTAATCCCTTGATAGATAAAGCATTCACTTTAGAAGCCTATATTACACTACTCTTGTCTATTTTTCATCTTCCATTTGTAACTAGTCCAATTGTATCTTTAGATTTGAGTTGTTTGACCACATCTCTTTATCAATGTCATGAAACTCTAAATCTTTGGCAAGATTTTCAATTTATACTATTCTTCATTGTCAAGAAGAATAATCAGTCATAGTATGTATGTATGGTATTTCCTAAAAAGGAAGAAACCAATGGAAAAGAATGCAAGACATGGTAGATAGTAAGTACCTGAGGAATGTGAGAACACATTCATAAGTATTAGTAAATTGAGTCGTGTTGCACATTTTTGCTTTGCAATTCATTTAACATGCATTCTTACAGCATTGCCATTATTACCTTTTCCTCTGTGACTACACACAAGGCATGAGAAGTTAAATACAGAAAATGCTTATAATATGTGTGATCATCCCTAACCAGTTTGGCTCAGTGGATAGAGTGTTGACCTGCGGACTCAAGGGTCCCAGGTTCAATTCTGGTCAAGGGCATCTACCTTGGTTGTGGGCACATCCCCAGTTGGGGGGTGTGCAGGAGGCAGCTGATTGATGGTTCTCTCTCATCAATGTTTTTAACTCTCTCTCCCTCTCCCTTCCTCTTTGTAAAAAATATCAATAAAATATATTTTAAAAATATGTGTGATCATATTATACACACAATATAAGCAAAGGGAATTCACTGCCTTTTGTCTTGGGAACCTAGTATGCTAGAAACCCCCACCCTTATTTCCAGGGATTAGTAAGTAGTAAAATCTTAGTTCTTAAATTGGCTTGATTGCCATTTTACTTGGCCAGTTGCTGAAGATGAGACTTTAAGACACTACCCCCCTCTATCTCACAACTTCTCATCTATAAAATGGGCATAATGATAGTACCCATAGCTGTTGTGGAGATTGTCGCAAGTAATCAGCACCCAATAAATGTCAGCTGTTACCCTCCTGCTGATGATGATGTGATAAAATGATGGAAATGCCTTTTGAATAACTAATAATAAAAAATCTTTTTTTTTCATTTTTCATGGAAAAAAATGAATTTAAATTTGTTAAAAAGCATCTGATGTTTCTGGAATTAAAAAAAAATTTGATTAAGATGAAAAAAAATAAACCGTCAACTAATATTCAGAGTTTTTATTATCCCAAAATACTTTTGAACTGAGTTAAAATTGGGGTGAAGGTGAGAAGAATTCTCAAGTTCTAAATATATAAGCTTAACACTTCCTTTCAAAATAATTCATTCGATATGTTCAGTGTTTGTTTTTCTAATGCATAAAGGAGACTATGGGAGTATAAGTAGAAGAAAATCAATATATAAACAATATACAACCTGAATATATTCTATATTTTCCAAAATAATTAGGAGTTATTTAAAACCATACCTATATAACGCCCTTCCTTGTGGTAAGCAAAATCCAAATTCATTGTATCAATATCTGTCGCTACATAATAATATCCATATTAAGTAGCATAAAACAACACCCATTTATTATCTCACAGTATCAGTGAGTCAGGAGACCTGGCAATGTTTAGCTGGGATCTCTGCTCAGGGTGTCACAGGCTGCAATCCATGTGGCTGAGTTCTCATCTGAAACTCAACTGGGGAAGCGTCCACTCCAAGCTTACTCAGGCTGTTGGCAGAATTAAGTTCTTGATATTCCTAACTGCCCTCAGTGTGTAGAGGCTGCCTAGAGTCCCTTGCTATAGTGTTCCCCACTGTGGCTGCATGCCTCTTTAAAATGAACAGTGAGAAACACAGGAAGAGGAGAGGGAGGGGAAAGAGAGACAGAGAGAGCAGTATGACAGATACTACTACAATCTTATATAATAAAAACATAATTACATACATATAATCACTACTAGTGGCCCAGTGCATGAAATTCATGCACTGGGGGGGGGGGGGGGGGGGGAGAGGGGGGAAGGTATCCCTCAGCCCGACCTGTACCCTCCCCAATCTGGGACCATCAGGGGATGTCTGACTGCAGGTTTAGGCCTGATCCCTGTCACATATCCTTCTCACAATCCGGGACCGCTGGCTCCTAACTGCTCACCTGCCTGCCTGCCTGATTGCCCCTAACTACTCTGCCTGCCGGCCTGATCACCCCTAAATGCCCACCCCTTCCCCCGCCCCCACCAGCTCACCCCCAACTGCCCTCCCCTGCTGGCCTGATCGTCCCTAACTGCCTATGCCTTGGCCCCACCACCATGGCTTTGTCCTGAAGGACTTTCAGTAGGTTTCCCAGAAGGTCTCCCAGTCTAATTAGCATATTACCCTTTAATTAGTATAGATTATTAGATAGATATCCCATCATTTTGCCATGTTCTAGTGGTTGGAAGTGTGCCACTGCTCCTGTCCACACTCAAGAGGAGGGAATCACACAACGGTATGAATACCAGGAGCAAGAGATGTGGAGGCCATCTCAAGAATCTGTCAGCTACACTCATCTATTTTAATATTTTCCAGATTAATTTTTAAAAATATATTTTATTGATTTTTTTTACAGAGATGAAGGGAGAGGGATAGAGAGCTAGAAACATCGATGAGAGAGAAACATAGGCCAGCTGCCTCCTGTACACCCCCCACCAGGGATTTGCCTGCAACCAAAGTGCATGCCCTTGACCTCAATTGAACCCGAGACCTTTCAGTCTGCAGGCCAACACTCTATCCACTGAGCCAAACCGGTTTCAGCAACCAAATTAATTTTTAGTGAAAGAGAAGAATGAATTAATTTTTAAATGAAAAAGTTTCTATTCCATTCCTCCCACCCATTAAATGAGTACTGATTCTTTCAATGCATTATTTTGAAATGGTTGTGAGAGCCAGATATACATCTGGCTATAATTCAAACTTTCATAGATTCCTTTTCATACAAATATATACATAAGCATAGTACACAGTGTGTCTGGTTCTAGTGTTCCAATTCTCAGAGTCAAAAATGGACCAAATATTAGTCCCAAGATGATATAATTTACCAGCATTGTGGTGAGACAATTAGCTTAATATTCAGTCAACACCACTCTTTCTACAAGCTTTAATAAATTCAAACTAGTTCTTGTGAACATTAGATGACAATATCACAATTATGGATAATGTCATATGTGAGAGTACAAGATTAAAGACATTGCCAAAAGTTATACTAAAAAGAACTAATGAATATAACTGATACTTGGCTTCTTGACCTTGAGCTCGCCCTTCAGAGTGTAAAGCCATGCCATCCATTGTCTAACTACTGATGTGTAGTACTTAAATAATATGATTTGGAGATTACCGGCATTATTAATAATCAACACTTCACATCCCCATAGCTTTTACATTTTCAAAACACACTCATAAATAACCATTATCTCATTTTAGATAAGTAAAAAATGGAATCAAGTATCATTTATCCCTACAGTTTTTTAATCTGATTTTTATTTTATATGTCATGAGTTTTATCTCTCTTTTGCAATGAAAATTATGTTAATATATTTTCTTCAAAACTCCACTCCCAACTATTCCTCAGGTGAGAAAGCCTTCTGAGAGCGCCTTCTGCAGACTGCTGGTGCAGCCTTCTGCCTTTCTGCCCTTTGGCAGGGAAGTCTCTCTGTTTCTTTGTCTCCCTCACACATTCGGATCCTTTCCAAGTGTGTTTTCTATTTCCTTTGCTAGATGGGAACCATAGGAAGGGGAGGGGTTTCATTTGTTTTTATTTGTGTTTGCAGTTGCTCCTATAATGCCTCCTAAGAGTGCTCTTTCTTGCTCACAGAAATATTCAACGAAGGGTATCAAAGGTCTGACACATAGCAGCTGGTTGAATCATCTTCACCATTTCTGAAAGAGGCCCCCAATCCCATAGTTTTCCCTGTGTCTCTGTGGTAGGCTGAACAAAAATGACCGCCTTCTTTCCACCAGTTACTAGCACTGCTCTTACAAAGACTTTTATTCAACTTCGAAAGAAATACAGCCCAGCATGTTTTCTGAAGCATGATTTTTTCAAACTCAAAAAAAAAATCAAACATACCACCACCAGAATTACTTTTAAAAAATTTTGAAATTCTCAACGTATAAAAACCATCAAAGCCATTTTGTTCTGATGGAGGTGGTGGGGAGTGCAGGAAGGAGCAGACCCAGGCCCTCCACCTCCCTCCCAGGACCCCCTTCAGCAGGCCAGGGTCAGACGTGCACAGGAAGCTGCTCTTGAGCCTCTGTAAGGTGACACTCAGGTCTATTTTCCTAGGAATGATAATTAGTTCACGTTGATTTATTCACATTAGCATTATGTTAATGTTCTTGGTATTTTCGAGGACTTTGGGATATCTTCCATGATCAATTTCTCTCAAGAAGGACAAGAGAAAGAATGACTTGACTCCGTCACCCTGAGTTTAAAGGTAGAACTCACCACACTCCTTTCAAAATGTCATACGTTGACCCAGTCAGGTTCCCCTGACATATTTCAAAACCATAATGGCTCAGGAAATATGCTCTCTGTGTGTCCTCATAAACAACACTTCAAAGCAGCTGCTCCACCCTCCCACTTACAGGTTTTACAAACTGAGACTAGAAAATAGCTGCCCTAGAGCCTGCACCCATGGCTGCCTGTCTGTCTCCAAGACTTAAGGTCTCTGTGGAGACAACTGCTGCCGTTGGGAAGGAGCAGGCTCAAAGCAGATTTCCCTGTTTTCTTGACAAGTTACTTAACCTCTCGCAGCCTGGGTCCCCAGCTATCAAACGGGCCACAGCGAAAACTAATTGAGTTAACACGAGCAAGGAGCTTGGCAAAGTCCCTGGAGTACAGTACGGTGTTCGGTACATATTTTTAACTATGACTAGGATCTATTAATAGATTTGAATTTTAAGTCAGATTTTCCTCAATCACTCTGCACTACTCCTTGGTTTATCCAGAGTCATAAAAGGGGAGATTTTAGCTTCTGTCAAGATCAGGAGAAGTTGTGAACTGAGACAAGTTACCTCTGAGCCTCTCTCTGTGTACACGGGAGACCTGTACCTTCCCGCCGAATTAGTTTCATGCTTGGAAAATATCAAGAGGTTGTTGAGTTCATCTTCAAGCTGTGGCCTGGTCCCTTCTGAATCTATCTACTTGAGTTTGAAATACCTCCAGAGAAGGAGACTTTATAGCTTCCTGAGGTAATTGATTCAAATGTCACACTTGGAAAGGCCCAAAGCCATAGGAGGCTAGCGCTAGCGTCTCATTTCTGGCAGGAGGTCAGAGATACATAAAATGTAATCTAAGATCTTCCTGTAGAGACCTGGCTTTCTACAAAGGGGCTTTTTGAACTTAGGTGATTGTCTTCCTTCTAAATCAATGCTTACCCCATTCTTCCTCCTTTTAAAAAAACGGTATCATTTGTTTATGGAAGGAAATGATTGTCCTTTAAAACTGCAGAACTTGATAAGAAAATAATTCATTTGCAAAATGAGCCCAGTTAGCAGAGCAGGGGAGGGGGAGCCACAAGGAGTACTTAACTGGTTGTAGTGAGGTGTTAAGAAAATCTCTAGCCCAAACCAGTTTGGCTCAGTGGTAGAGCATGGGTCTGCGGACTGAAAGGTCCCAGGTTTGATTTCGGTCAAGGGTATTCTTGGTTGCGGGCACATCCCCAGTAGGGGGTGTGCAAGAGGCAGCTGGTCGGTGTTTCTCTCTTATGGACGTTTCTAGCTCTCTATCTCTCTCCCTTCCTCTCTGTAAAAAATCAATAAAATATATATTTTTAAAAACAGTTTTAAATGAGTGTATCATTTAATTCTCCATACAGACCAATGAGTTGGGGACTGCTCTTATTAGCTCCATTTAACAAATGATTACACTGAGGCTCTGAGATGGTGTATCCCCGCTGGTTAATCAGTTAGTGAGCGGCAGAACCAGGACTCAAACCCTCATAAGGCACTGCCTCTGGGAAATAATTAAGCAAAGGCCTTTTCCTCCTCACTGACAGCTCAGTGTGTGCGAGAAAAAACAGTGACTCTGACTTAATACAGACACAAGACAACGCAAGATAAAGGCTTATAATCCCAAATGAAACATCTTCCTTAGGATCAAGGAAAAACTAAAATTTCGTTAAATGGCAATTAGTAACAGTCCAATCAGCAGACAGCATATGCTAGCATTTCCTTATATGTTGTTCTTCGCTGTATTTGCATTAAATATGCATTAAAGTACTTGAGGTTTGTTGGTGATTTATATCATTTTAGTAGAAGCACACGATTGGCTGGACTATATGGATGGGTCAAATGAGTCCCTTTATACAAAAGCCTGCTACTCTTCTTGGTAAGGAGTTAAGGCTCTAATGAAATAACAGGTATGATATGATCATTTCACCATCCTGCTATGTCCGAGATCTCTGTGCCCATCCAGGATATAATGAGTAAGTATTCCTGATGAGTAACAAATGGCACAAAACTCAGCATTTCTGTCTCAATGCTTGGAGAAGCGCCCAGCCTCGGAAGCCCAGGACCTCATCTCCTCCCAGAAGAAGCCCGCCTCCCCCACGCCTTCTCCGTCCTCAGCCACAACCCCTTTATGTAAGCCTGCCACCAGCTAATGGGAGCTTTCAGGCAGTGACAGAGTGGCAATTACATTAGCTCTTCAATACATCTCTAAAATCGGCTCTAGCTCTTGGAGCGGAAATGTCCTTAGAAGGATCCCCACAATCACCCTCCCCAAAATGGATTTCACTACATTTGGAGAGAAAAATACAGCACATATACATTTTTTTTCCTGCTTATGAATCTCTACTTGTAAACACATATGCCTTTTATCTTGTAAATGATGAAATAATGAGAAGCCTTTCATTGTGAGGATGGGAGATTGGCCTTGATTAAAAAAAAAACACGCCTCCATAATAACATGGATTCTGGCCAGGAGGAGGACTCGGGGTCCTCCTTCGCTTGGGCTCACATTTACAGACTTGAAATAAGTATTATTATTACGAGGCCTCATTTGGGGGCTGGCAGCAGGTCGCCCCACCGAAAGTCTGGGCGGTGATTAGTTCCATTGAAGAGGAGGATGTTTACTGCTCCCACTTGGAAAATTCAACCATCAAAGCAGCCCATTGCTCTTTCAAAGAAAGGAAGGACACGTTCATGCTGTTTTTCTCTTCAAAGCCCATCTTTCCAATGGGGGTTACGTGGGAGGAAATGCATGCTTTTATCCAAATGATCACTGCTGTCAAATAATCGGGTATGAAATAATTTCCACGATGCACTGAATCATGGGAATATGTCACTTCTATTGATTTCCCTAGACTCACATTACTCATGGCTTTTCTCTTTCCAAAGCAGTAATGCCTTTATTCTCTGATTCAAATTAATTTAACACAATTTACTTAGTACCTACTATTGAGCCACAGCCAGCAGAACGTAAAGGTAAATAAAATATTGTCCCAATCTTTAAAATCTCACACTAGAGCAAGGGAGAGAGAGGTTTAGAGAGGAGTTGCATTACTACAGTTATGGAAGACACACAGAGAAAGAACAAAGAAGCAAGTGATTGACTCTACGTGGGTAGGTTAAGGAAGGCATCCCAGGGAAAAAAGCTAATGTGAGCCAATCATTGATGTGCACTTGGTATATTCAGAAAAGAACATTCCTGCAGCAACAGACAGCAATGTCCAGAGGCCTGGTGTGATTCCTTCTGTGTGGTATGTGTGCAGACATAGTGAAACAAGGACGGAGAAGTTGGCAAAGGCAAAGTAATGGAGTACTAAGGAGTTAATATTTGATCTTGCTAACAATGAACAATGAACCACAAAACAGCTTGAGTTTTAGAAAAATCACTCATGTTACAATATGAAGAGTAGCTGAAGGAGGGTATGAGAGAGACAATTAGATGTCTATTAAGGAAGTCCAGGCACAGGGGGTGAGGGTGTGAACCACAGCAGTCACAGAGGAGGCAAAGAAGAAAAGTCAGATGTCTACAACTTAGAGACAGAATGAAGAAGAAAGAGCATAGAGGATGGGGGTCCAGTCTTCAGCTTGGCTTCTTTGAGAAGGGGGTTGTGAGAACAATTTGGGGGAAAGACAACAAGTTCATTCTTTGCAAAACAGCAACAGATGAGGGATTAGATACATTTTTCATGTATACATGTATACTTCCGTGTTTTTTAGAGTACTAACTCTAAACACTTTTTAAAAACAATTCAAGTGTTTCAAAGTAAGAAAGCTTATGGGACAGAGAGACAGAGATGGGGTTGGAACCTCAGAATTACATTAATGAGACAGCACTCAGCTTGCCTAGAGCAAACACAGGGGATTCAAAACTCTGATTAGACAGGAATCTTGCCAGGAGCGGAGGTGTGACACACTCACTCATGCATAGAGGCAAATCAACTTAGACACAATAAAGCCAAAGAATTTGATTATAAATGTCTGGGATCAGTGACTGGGTTAAAATAACAGGAAAGGAAAGCACAAGGACAGAACATCCCCAGAGGAGGGGGCACGTACCTTTGTTCGGATTGATAAAAATAGGTGAGTCAGATAATTCTCTCTGGTTTGGTTATGGCAGTGATTGGGAAAGTGAGAAAATGGGAGAGGTTAAAAAAAGAACAGCCCATTAAATAAGTAAGGAAGGCAGAAGGATAACAGAATTGTCAGAGTAAAATATTGGGGTCATCGATAAAGGCAGCTTCCTACATAAAAAGGCCAATTTTAAACTTATCAGGGAATAAGGCATCTTAAAGGGCAAGTCACATGGAGGCAGAAATGGTGAGCTGCCCAGGTCACAAATACAACAAGAACTCCAGCACAGACTTGAACATTATACAGCAAACAGCAGTGAAGTCAAGACACTAAGTGCTGGCTATGCAATAATGAGACTATGACTATGAAAGAAAATTAGACTAATTTAAATTTAATTCCCAATTGGCTCATATTTGAGGTCAAATACAAAAAAAGAAACAGAAAAATGGGGGGAAAATACATTTACTGAACAGAATGAATCTTCCCATTCACTATTGGAAAATAATGGGCCGGTGAAATAATTTAGCAGCCAAAATTGCCAAATCAGCGACCCAGTGTCCTAATGAACTTATTAGAGACCACTGCAGGCAAGTGGTATAAGTGGACAGGCCCAGGTGCCTCTTTCCTATGTTACCTGCTTATGAGGTCAGATTGTCATAGAGGCAATTCTATGGGATGCCAATTTTCAAAAAATATTTAATTCTGCAAGGTAACTGCATGTAATATTCATGTGTAAGCTTATTTTCAATATGCATTTGCATACACATACTAATGCCTCTGCCTATGCATATATGTATGAGACCATATGACGCTTCACAGTCATATGAGAAACATCTGAGAAAATCAACTCGGCCACGTCAGATTCAGCAGCTGTGTAGCATGAGAAATAATGAAGAGGCATATCCCCAAAGGACAGCCTGGGGCTTCAAAGGCCAAAAAAGAAAACAAAAATCCATGGCACAGCATAAAGAATCATCTGCTCAGTGACAGCTTACTT